TCCTCTAGCTCAGTTTTTTTCAAAATAAAATTGATTAAAATAAAATAAATTATTAAAGAGATAAAGTAAAAGGAAATGTTGCAACCTGGCTGAGGGGCAAGAATTATATGTTCAGCGTATATTTGATAAAACATCATGAGAAAACACAGCCTACTTCTACTTTTCAAAGTTTGGTCGGGTTGGCATCATGGGACTTAGAAGATTCTTCTCAAGTTGTATATTTTTGCCAAGTCATATGATCTGCTATAGTTCAGCTATAGTTAACCAAACGCAGAAAAAATATCTTCCATAATATCCAGTAATTCTCCAAAACAAGCCTGTTCCTTCCTTGTTCAACACTGGCATTCTTTGATGATTCCCAATTTATCCCACAGAGGTCATGGACTTATTTCCCGTCTGCTGTCCTATACTTACACTATAGATGTCCAAATTCAGTTGTATTGCAATGACAGGATCTTGGCTCACAAACTCCATCTCGTGGGTTTAAGTGATTCTCCTGCCTCAGCCTCCTGAGTAGCTGGGATTACAGGCACGCACCACTATGCCTGGCTAAATTTTTTTTGTATTTTTTATAGAGATGGGGTTTCACCATGTTAGCCAGGCTGGTCTCGAACTGCTGACCTCAGGTGATCCGCCTGCCTCAGTGCACCCAGTTTTAAAATACATTATTTGTCTAAAAATGACGACAAAAGATTAAACTGTCATCTTTGTAGGTTTCTACACATACTCCAACTCATTCACCAATCCTTGAAAAGATTATGTAATCAGTCTCAATGCCCTGAGCCAGGCCAAGCCCATTTCTAACGTACAGTGTTCTCCGGATCCGATACGTAAAGCCCTTATCCTGATACTACACACCTTTTTTGTCTTCCGGAAAGCACCTCTCTTCTCATCCTTTTTCAAGGCACTAGAAAAGCAGATCATTTCTCCAGCACCTCAAACCAGGGTGAGAAAGCTCCACTCTAATCTCATCATTTTGGCTACATAGATACATTGGCTCAAGGGAAGATGCCAAGTGTAGTAGTTTATCTACCACTCTGAGGATTTTTGAATCTGTAACAGTTGTTTCAACTGGGCCAATAATTATTAGGGGCAATAATTAAAAGAGTAGCCAGGCTAAAGGAGTAAGATAAAAAAATATACAGGAAAAAAGTAGAGAAAAATATTTACTAGAGTACTTGAACCTACCACTCTCAGATCAGTTTTCTAGTGTTCTGTTGACTCGGCAACCAGTCAACAAACTTTCATTGACAAGCTGTTTTACAGTAGGCATTGGGATAGGCTTTGTGGAATACCAAGAAGCATGTCTCTAGTAGAAGACGAATAAGAAAATGTAAAAACAAGAAAAAGAAATTGAGGAATAAGGCTACAGTTTACAAAGCTACACAATTGTTCATTGTGCAAGAAATGAGGCCTTAGGGAAAGACTTCCCTGTGAACTACAATGAGATGAAAAGGCTTCTCAGAGTGAGATTTGAGCAAGAGTTTAAAGAACTGGCAGATTGATAAGGAGCTTCAAGTAGTCTAGAGGACTAAGACTGAGGACGAAAACTCAGAACAATGTAACAAAAGCACAGAAGATAAACTTAAGATGCTTTCTTTACAGGACACTT